AATATTTCAATTTCTTTGATGATCTGAAACATTTCAGTGTGACAAACATGCAAAAAAATAAGAAATCAGGAAGGGGTCACACAGTGGTGTGACACTTTTTCACACCACTGTATATTTTATCACCTTCAGTAATCAGAAAAACATGATTAACACTTCCTGTTTGCTAAATGGAGCAAGGAAATGAATGCGCTTACAGAACGTTTTACTTTTGACACTTTACAATACATTTCCACTCCTTTCCATTTAAAACCCATATGCTCCCTGACAGAGATTTTCCATTTGTTTCTCTTGGATAGCACTGTCAGAATCCTTACCTTTACACCATGCGTTTCTAACAACTCCCTAACCCAGGGTCGGGCTTCGACTGTTCCTGTTTTAAATTCTTTGAATACTTCATTTTATATCACCATGGAAACCTCATATGATATTGTCATCTCTAACTCCCCAAAGCGGTTTTTATTTGGGCTTCTGCATCAAACATTCCTGTTGCCACACTGTTTTATGGACTTTTGGGAAGTATAAAATCCTTTCCAATGCTATTAAAGGCTGGAGCTACAGTATGCTGTGCTTCTCCTGCCTGGGTCATCTAGCAGGCAAATCATATCTTAAGCTTCACCCCTACAGAAATTCTCCCCCTCTCTTTAAATGTTATTTGTGGTGTGGCTCTACCATGATGAATTCACATGATTTCTTCTGTAAATGTCAAATATCTCTGTCACATTTACATTTTTGTGAAACAGCTCATTTAAACAGTAGGCCTTTTTGATGGCTGTTATGTGTCTCCTGACAGTCCACATTGAGATTGGACATTGATTACTAATATTGTGAGTTATACATGTAGCTCCTTGAAGAGCCATAATTCTTTCTGAGCATGGCAAACTGTATATTAGGGATTGCCAACACTGGCGCTAGGAAGCCACAACAACCCACTGGGTTTTATAGGTCACCCTTAGTTAATGCATTTAGTTTCAAAAACAAAGTAAAGAAAAATACCACTACCAACACCACATAGATCTGCAGGTTCACAACATGGTTAAGTCCTTCATGACTTAACCAAGCCCTTTGCCCTGGGGCCTTAGTTTGGGGTGTAATAGATTCTGCTATTGAAGTAAAACTGCCGAACTTCAGACTGGGTGATATCAGATCCGGGTCCTTTTCTGACTTTATACTCAGAAACTAGGCAAACACTGGGAAGTTACAGTAGATTTACAGAAAGAAAAAATAAGTATTGCGTACAAATACAGTATGTGATGTGTTTCAAAGATCACATATTGTGCAAAGCACTGCAAAAATGAAACAGAAGTCATGCCCTGACTTGCGACTTGCAAAAAGCAATGTTTTTTTTCCATTCCACATTTCATCAAATGTCTGATCATGTCATAACAAACCAACAGCTTTTCTGAAAGGTTGTATACAGTATAAATTCCTGAAAAAATTACACTTTCAATTCCATGTCTGCTTATATAAAAGTATACATGTGTGTATTCACTTGACATTTTACAATTGACTATAATGATATAATCGGAGGATTAACATATACTGCAGCAGAAAGTTAAAATACAGAAAGACTCAAGGCAGGGCAAACTCTTGACAGATGTTTCATGCACATAACAGACATACTGCATGTAGAGTACTACTGTATTATTAAGATGTAAAACTGAACTTGAAGAAGCTGCCTATAAAAAATACTTACTGTAGGTGCTTATGTTGACATATTTACATCATATAATATAGGGTGGCAATATGAAAGGTGAACGAATGTTAGGATATAAAGGTTTAAAACTGTAGAATTTAAATCAAGAAATTAAAAGTTGTACATTGGATTAGTAAAACATTATTTACAAAATGGTTAACCATTTTGGCAATCATGTTACAAAAAATATTACTACTCTGGAATCAGTCTATGAGAACACCAAACAGATACAGAATGTTGTCTATGAAGAGATGTGGCTGAAGTATTCAAAATCCTCAGAGGCATTGATAATGTCAGCCCATTTTTCCTAAGTGGAAAATACGATGAACGGAACACGAGACGCTTTTTTGCACAAAGGGTTGCTGGAGTGTGGAGCACGCTGCCCAGCCATTTTGTCAGTACTGGCTTCATTAAAAGAAACGTCAGAATGAGATTCGTAATGTACAAGATTATTTATCGACCAAACGAGCTACAGTAAATGGGCTGACGACCTGTTACTTTTCTGTGCGTTTTGTGCGTTTTGTTTATATAGAAAGCACACATACTCCTGGTACTGGATAATACTGTCCGGTTAGAGATCACAAATCATAGAGAGCAGAATACTACCTTTCTTTCTTCATTTAAAATGTGGTTTTAGGTGGTATTTAAAACGCAGTCGGCCGGTGCTTAACTGGGTTGTTATAGGTACTTTTGAACCTCGATCGCGCAGAAAAGGCTGGGTGAGGGAAACATATGATGTCTACATTCGCTCTTTTTAATTCAAAGGGGCTTCCGATTGCCTACAGACCTGTGTACGTGCCTCCGTTTCCAGTCTTTTGAGTGCTAAACATTCTGGACAATGTGCACCTGCCGTGTGATTTAATCATCCATTTCTATTAGACTCACGACACACTTTCGCTTAGTTAGTTCTACGGACTGCATGTTTTGTTTTTTTGTACCTGGACATTTTTTAATCTTTCTGTTTAATAGTGGCTGTCAACCTGCTTGGGCTTGTAAAAACAGGGAGACATGTTTTAACTATGATAACCGTATGATAACCGTAATTCAGGTATTTACAAGGTGTGTTTTTGTAGTATTGTGACCCTCATTTACCATGTATATTTTTAATGGAGGACTACAATTAATTTTTTTTTTTTAGAAAAAAGGTAGAGGTAGACGCAGCCTCCCTTAAATGAATATCATACCCTCCCACCCCTCACCCAGGACCAGGACACTTGAATGAATCAACAAAGCAAATAAAACCTTCCATGCACTGTCACACATTACGGCCACACGTCATACTGTCAGAATTCAAACGCGTGTTGTCGAAATCCAGCGAGTGAGCGAGAAGCTGAGCAGCTCGCATGAAACGGGGAAGAAGACCAGAAGATTATGACCTGGTGCGAGTAACGAAGCAAAGCGCACGGGGGTGTGGGAAAGATACTGTGTTCCTTTCCCTTTTTTTCTTGTACGGGACAAAGGGAAAAATCTGCGCCACCTGCGTTTGAATGATGGTGTAAACATGGACTGCTTGGACAGGACTGCTTTCAAAAGAGGGAAGAGCCTGCAGAGCAAACAAGAGAAATAGGTCGCCAAGAATAAAAGAAGAAAAACATAATAAATATTAATAGTAATAAAGGATATAAAAAATCAGGACAGCTGTTTAAGGTCAGCGCAATGCTTAGGAGGACCACCACCGCACAACGGAAAACGTGACAAAAACGCTGTAGTTAAGAGCGACACTGCCATCAGACTATCTCATTTCGTTGCTTAATTCAAAACCGTGCGTACTCGCCCGACGTCTCCGATGGGTTGTTTATTTAACGAGAGAAACAAGATTGTTGAAGGTGACTTAAGATAATGAACAACAAATTGTGCTAACAATGGAAATTGTCATGTAAACCGCAGAAGGATTTTACCTTCATGCAATGGATGGAGGTCCTGTAACTGGCATTTCGGAAAGCACCGAGCGAAGTGTGAGATAATGCGGGGCTCGGGGTGCACCTTTTTCTATCAGGATACATGTGCTAACATTTCAGTCTAACTGGATTTTTATCAAGGGGACACATGTTTAGTTTACATGTGGGACCTTTTTTACCTCTCACGGATTGTCCAAGACGAATTATGCCTTCAGACTGGATTTAAAAATACTTTGTGGCATCCCTCCTTGCACAAAGGTGAAATTAATTTTTAACATCAAGATTTGTTTGTGGACGGGTCCTGGAAATATGACTGGATTGTCATTTTTACCGTACATAATTAGACTCTCATGTTTTTAAGGGGTACGTAAATTCTTTGCTCTGGAGTTCAATTTTACGGTTTTAAGGATGTCTGGACAGCTGGGACCATCCCAAGTGCTCTATATAGGAATGGAGGTAGTGATAGCCGTCTCTTCTGTACTGGGCAATGTAATGGTAGTTTGGGCAGTGAAAATCAACCGCTCATTAAGAGACACAACTTTCTGCTTTATCGTCTCTTTGGCCCTGGCTGATATAGCCGTAGGAGCGCTCGTCATCCCTCTGGCCATCACCATCAGCATCGGGCTACAGACTCACTTCTACAGCTGCCTGCTCGTAGCCTGCACGGTGCTCGTGCTGACTCAAAGTTCGATCCTAGCCCTGCTGGCTATTGCCATTGACCGCTACCTTCGGGTCAAGATACCCACCAGGTAAAGTAGCAGCTTCAATGAAAGCTCCAAACCTGAACGCTAAGAATGATGATAAAAAAATGACCCGGGAATTCTCATTTATTGCCATTAGCTAAGATAAAAAAAATACGTTTACCGATTTTACAGAAGGGTGAAGATTTATCAAGAGTCTTACCTTCTCTGCTATGGTTGTGCATACTCCGTTTCTATAGCTTGATACTGGGTTTTTTGTTGTTGTTGTTGTTGTTTTTGGAAAATTCACTAAAATACGAGACTTGAAGTTATAGTGTTCCGACATCACTGAATGGACTGAACACACCACACACAGTGTGGCGATAGAGCTGCTTTTGTGCAGCACCCAGTCTGTGGAGCTCAATATCTTGGCCTAAGGAGGTTTACGAAAGGGTCTTTTTGTAAAGCTTGTAATGTGGAATTTGTTTTTATAGTTATTTTTTTTCTATACAACTACTACTACTACTACAATAATAATAATTCAGTTGTTGTACAATACGACAGTACGATAAAGTCAATATTTCTACACTGATATGCCTACTCAGATGCTCATTAAGATAGCTAGAAATAACATTCTTCTGCATGTCATACCACCCGTTAACGGCCCTGGATTTCTCCTGGGGGAAAACAGTCTTCACGTTTCAATACTTAATAGCAGTTTCACCAGATATGTGTTGCTATTTTTAGTAAGGAACTGATACCTAGGTCGCTTTACTCATCCTGCATAATCTGTAGGTGAAATATGATCGTGGAAACGCTTTCTTGGAGCTAGAGAGTGTGTATGCTGCTATTCTGCATGGTTCTGTGTCACCTTGAATTTTTTTGTGAAATTCACAGACGTTGTTAAAAAAAGTCGCTTACGAGGTTAATTTTTCGCTCTTACTGTGTACAAAATATTTTCCTGCTAAGGACAGCTATATTTACTCGTCATATCTCGTTTTCAATAATCTACTACCACGCAGAAAACCAGCTCTCCAATTTAAGATTCATTCACACATTAATGCTATCTTGCTAACAACTGGATACCAAGATAACATTATTATATATATTTTTATAATATCTTTGGTTTGCTTAAATTCGGTAACGTTCAAATCTTCCACTAAGATAATCAGTCGTGAAAAGTTACAAACAGTAATGGAGACTTGAGTCCTTGGTCTACTCACCCATAGACATACTGTACATACTGTATGCTGAAGCTTTGTGTATAACATATTCCATTTTCACAAAATCGTTTCTGGTCAAATCCTTAATCTGTTTTGATCCGCCTAACGTGAAATAAATTAATTATAAATCAACACGGTTTAAGAAATCAGATATATTCCCATTGCAATTAACTAGTGGAGAGTAAAATATGCAGTATATCCAAGACCAGATGCTTTTGGGTCTGGCTGCACATTACCCATCCACACAACACCAGGAATAAAGTCAGCTAAGATTTTTTATATATATATGACACCTTTCTTGCAAAAATGTTAAGCACTCACCACCATGACAGAAAATACCTTTCCAGTTGGTAAAGATATTAGGTCAGATCATTTTAGTGAAGACTGGTAGTTTTCCTTTCTAAAATGTCTCATGTCTGGTTTCTTCTGTCCGAAGAGCAGTACTTAATTCAACCTGCCCTTGAACTTCTGGCTTAACATTCGACCCACATGTACAGCATACTGTCAAAACATCTTTTTTTCACCTTAGAAATATCGCAAGACTACGCCCTATGCTATCATTAACTGTGGCTGAAAAGCTAATCAACATATTTGTATTCTCTCGAATTGACTACTGCAATGCTCTGCTCCCTGGGGTATCTAAATCTACTCTGAACAAGCTGCAGTATGTCCAAAATTCAGCAGCCAGAATCCTGACCAGGTCTAGTGCAAGTGTTCACATTACTCCTATCCTGGAGTCCTTGCACTGGCTTCCGGTCAAATTCCGCGTAGACTTTAAAATCCTCATGCTCACCTACAAGGCTTTACATGGCCTGGCACCTCAATACCTGTCTGAACTTTTATCGCCCTACTCCCCACCTCGCAACCTCCGCTCTTCAAATTCTGCCCTCCTTACTGTCCCCCAAGCCCGTCTACATTGTATGGGCGACAGGGCCTTCTCCTGCTATGCCCCCAAGCTCTGGAACTCTTTGCCCAAGGATATTAGAGAGTCACCTTCTCTAAACTCCTTCAAATCCAGACTCAAAACCCTCCTTTTCAGAAAAGCCTTTACTTAACTGGTTCCATTCTTCACCCCTCTGCTCTTCTTAATACCATCTTCTACGGTCTCCTCTATTGTTACTGTTGTATTGTTGCAATCATAATTGTGTCCTGTCTTGTGAAATTTTCTTATTTATTGTTGTAGTCTTCTTATTTATTGTTATTGTCATCCTGTAAAGCGCTTTGAGAAGCCACCTTTAAAGGCGCTATATAAAATAAAGTTTATTATTATTATTATTATTAACTTTCCTTTTTCTGGACCTATTTTCGGCTTGTTTTCAAATCTGTTATGGGAATATGAATATAGCATATTTTGAATCAAATGAATCTGTAGTCCACTACTTTTCAAAAGGGGAAATTTCTGGTGTGTATATTAGTTTATAATACAGCAGTATTAGTATATACTGTAATTGCCAGCAATTACTGTATAGCACCCTGCAGCCTCCAAACTGGCCGCCCACTGAAGTTAAACCGATGTGAGACTGGCCAGTAACTGGATGGGAGGCACAAAGCACTTTTAATGGAGTGTCCAGAAAAGCGCTATACAGTACTGTATAAGTGTAAGGAATTATTACTATTATTGTTGTTGTTGTTGTTGTTGTTACACAAAGCAAATTTGTATTTATTCTTAATATTTATTTAATGCACAATATTACTGTGGAGCCTCAATAGTATTGACTTAAAGTATTACCATATTCAATCAGCAATTAAAACTATTGTACCAATTATCTTACATTTACTAAAGATAACAAAAGGAAAGCACTATAGTAAAATAATGATCTTACCCTTTAGATTTATTTTAAAAATATCTGCTGATACATCTTGTTGGCCTAAGAGATGAAGGGCAAATGTATTACAACCTACTTCAAGAGGACATATTCCAATGCTGAGTTCATAACCATGTTTGTGAAAAGAATCCCTGTCAGAGAACAATTCTGGAACAAGGTTTTGATATACCCTTCAGAAGAATACACAGACCTTTGAAGTCCCTGCAATGTATGATCCCAGAAATTTGAATGCCATTTATTCTATTGGAAGCTGGTAATTCACACATCTGGTTCTGTACATTTTCTATATGTAGCACCAAGATCATAATGTATAAGAGTTAATCATTTACATAAATAAATCTCTGTAACACAGGAAACAATCACAGATGGATACCAGGTATAATGATTCTTTTGAATTCTTACCATATTGCCTGCAAGGACAAAAGTACAAATTATGTATAATCTAATCTTCTAATTGGAAATAAGCATAACTGTTTCTTTCCAGCATATACTTGGTTATCAAAAAAACGATTTCCAGGATTTTTTTTTCATATATTCAATTTTCTATTCAAACTGCAAACTAAAGTGCTGAAACAAGATTGTAGTGATTATCCAAGATACAGATCAGGAAAAGACCGTGCTGAATGAGCTGTTTACTTGCAGATTGCATATTAGAGCAAGAACTGTCTCTGTTCTACAAATTGATATTGCAATCAGCTGTCTGCTGTGAAGGGTGCACTATGAGCTCATTGTAGCTGTTCACAGTATGTCACTGCAGGCTATAAGAAATATTTCACTTGAAAACAATGCCACAAAATCTGACCTGAGCCAACCACAATTTGAGAAAGTACAGTTAGTCACTTTTAGCAAACAAAGAATGAGTGACAAAAAATGTCTTAATAGTTCATGTAAACACTAGCAATCCAGTGAGTGTACGGTAAGAATGAAGGGAAAAACAGCTGTTAATTTTAGTAATTACTATTTGTTATTTACTGCACTGTAAAGCAACTATAGTGAAACTGAAATAAAACACATTTACATACCTTCTTATAATACAATTTGTACATACAGCACTGTATGCAGAGGTGCAAGCCTCACAAGGAGGAGAAAATTCTACCTACAGTATAAGAGAAAAGGGAGAGATGAACCTGGGTTTAAGAAACTAAAAACAGATTAAATGCAAACAATTCAGAATACGCTGCATTCAAATAGTCTGTGTAAAAAAAAATGAAAACGGCTAGAGCAGGGAAATGTTGTTTGGTTTGTGTTTCCCACCATGAATGTGTCAGTAGGGTAGTCACTCTCCCTGTGAGAAAGAATGGTGATACTATTCCCATTGGCATTTAGAGTTCCAAAATGGGTGAGAATATTTGTGGTGAGAAAGATGTAAAAAGCTTCCGCTGAGAAGGTCTGAGGAATAAAGCTGACTAAGAAAGATCAATACAAGGAACATAAATACAGGGGAAAGCATGGCATACAAATGCCTAATTCTGAGACACCAGACAGTCAGGCAGCCAGGCTTTATTTGGTGCTTGTTTAAACAAACTGAGTTCATTATGCCCCTTCGAAAAATCTAAAATGTGTTTTAGCAGAGTGATTGAACTCTGATATTGAGCATTAGCAATATCAAGAGAAAGCTTTAAATACTTGACCCTTCAGATGACACTGAAAGTCAAAAGGGCTTGGGATTTCATATCACTGAAAAGATTAAATTTTTAGATTAATGCTTGATTACTCTCTCTCTCTCTCTCTTTCTCTCTCTCTCTCTCCTTGACAACAAGCTGTTATGTTCCAGCTATAATCTAGAGCATCAAGCAACCTGTACACAAATAGACAAAGGTTAACTTGCAACAGTCAGAGTGAAAAAAGTCTAAGTACAGTAGTCCAACCCACAGCGGAAGATACACAGAGAGTTCTCCAAATATTTTATCTTTAATCTGCAAGAGGCAACACAATTAAAACTAATTCTCAGTCTTCAGTAAATATATGATTTTAATATAAGGTTTGACATTTCTGCAGTTAACAAACAATATAATTCACTTATTTATTATATATGTGTCTCTCTTCACAAATTAGTGAATAATCTTGTTCCTGATACAGTGCCAACTTGCTTTTTGTTGTCCGAAACAAGCTTGCACATTTAACAGTCAGCACTAATACTTAGACACCGGTCAATAGAAACACTACTGCAGATTCAGCGTCTTAGGTAGCAAATGACTGACACCTTGTGGTGGTTGCAGTGTGCTCTACAATTTGAAGATATCCCATTTGGTTTGAAATTGCTTTTCAGATTTGGATTCTTGGCTGAGCTAGTGATATATATATATATTACCAGGTTTTGTCCAAACTGAAGGCAAGGTAGCAGTGTCAGTATTATTGGACAACACCTTTTTATTTTGAAGAAGATTGTCTGGGAATGCATTTTTTGGTTCATGCATATTGGAGCATGCTTTCTCAGAACCCCCCAGAAGACTATTGTTCATTTCATATGCGATGCTTTGTTAAGAAATATAAATCAGACTAATATACAGTATATATTTTGTAATTTCAGCTGCAAAATGATGGTTGCTAAATCCCCCCTACTCCCATAATGCTGGAATTTAAGAATAGAAACACAACTGAAATGGTTTACTATCCTAAAGAGATCAGAAAAAAAGGGCTTTTAAAGGCCAGCTGATGAGGATGACAGCGTCAGCTGACCTACTTCTAGTCTCTTTATGCTTCTTTTGTCTGTATAGAGTCTCAGGTGATGTGTACTTTTAAATTGATTCATAGAGGGCTAAGAGTCAAATTTCCACATGGGGATAATTTAATGTTTGAGATATAATGGGATTCACAGTGATAGCTGTGGTTATTAGGTTGTTTGTATGTGTGAATGGAGATGTTTCATATGAATAAAGTCTCTTTTCCTTGTATTTTGGCTATCTGTTGTGAGTTTCATGTGCTTTGGGGTTGGGCAGCAAGTTGACCTTGGACTCCTAGAGGTTTTTTTTCTCCTTACTGAGGAGTTTTTGATTCCTCTCCTCTGTTGTCTTCTGGCTTTCTTTTTCTCTGTCTGTATTGTAATGTCATGTATTGTCACACAGCTTTGTTAAGTGCCTTGGGGCAACCGTGTTGTGAAAGGTGCTATATAAAAATAAATTGAATTGAATTGCTCAGGGCTCATGAGCCACCTATTTAGAGGGAGGACTGACAAGGGATTTTACAGTGTGCTAGCCAGCCTTATTATTTACAGCATTAGTCAATATACTGTAGCCTTAGCCTAACAATTATTGTTTTACTTGTATCCTGAGATATGTCTATGAAGAGGTGCTTTTCGTTTAATTTACAAGAAAACTGAACTGCTACAGTATGAATATACAGTATAAGCAGATGAAAATTCCTGGGTAGTGTACGGTAATATTTGAATTTTTTATTGACATACAGTATTATTTACATAGAATATAGCTCTCAGAGAGGATCAGACGTACTGTTATGGTGTTTCCCAAATTTCATATTTCAGTCCATGAATGTGGCAGATGGCTCGCTGAGGTCAGACAATGAGGTCCTGATATTCTTGTTGCATCTATATTACTGTGTGTACTGTATGTGGTAGAAAGAGGAAGGAGTGGTTCTCACGCATATTAGCTCTGTGCATTTTCAACCATGTTATTGTCATTAGCAGAATCTCTCTGATTGCATCCCAGTCTTTTAATTTTTACAATAGCCATCTTTGTGGTTTACTGGGCAAGAGTGGTACATTCTTCACCAGCAAATGCTGCCATCCTCCAGTGCCCAGCAGTAATACTGTATGTCTCTGACTATGAAGTGGGCCAGCCTATTGTAGTCACCGTGCGTACAGCAATGCTTAATGTATGAAAACACACATCCTTTTGTGTATTGGAGGAGCTGCTTTGATTTAAACTAGAAACTTAAATCTGTTTTTTGTCCCAGTACAATGTGCAGACTGTCCAATTCTCACATTGTGAGAGTTTGTATCTTTACCAGTTTTTAAATCTGCTATAGTTTTTTCAGCAAGAAACCAACAAGCTAATTAAAGCTGAGAGAAAAAACTAGCAGAACTCTGCTACTCTCATGAACTCTGTTTTATATTCACAGATTTAAAAAGTAGGTTACATCTGTATTTTTATATTAAAAATATTACACCATCATTAATCATTTCAGACATTGCTCACTGCTTAGATACATTGTGGCCACAGTAAAGAGAGACTGACTCCCTGGATTACTTTTTACCTATTTCCACATAGAGAACAAATAATTTAATAATTTATCAGTTTAATAATTGTGACAAAGACAGTTTAGTTCCTGACCATCAGACACAAATGCTTGAGGTTCAAGGTAGAAATATTAAACATGAACATGTGGCTTACTGGCTACCTATTAAATAGTTTACATCGATAAAGTGTCTTTATGAGATCAAATGCAAATTTACTTACAATAATATAATATTTTGTACTGTATGTTGTTGTACTGATATATTTATATTTATTTTCTGTTTTTCATAAAAGACACTTTACCTGTTATCTCAGAGGTTTGTTTCTACTGAACATAGATCAAGTGTTTTTCAAGTTTTCACAAAAAAAAATGACGACCAAAGAAAACGTACACTGAGATGTATCTTTGTTTTCATTAACAATAACAAAAAGCATCATTAAAACCAGTTCACACTTATCTCTGAGCATAATACTTATGGATACAATGAATAGGAGATAATTCCTGCCCATTATATACCATGTATTAATTGTTTGTTCTGTGTAAACCTCAGACCTCAGTAGGCTTTTGGTACTGTTGTGGCCTACGGACTCTTAAAAGGGAAAGAGGTTGTTGCTTTTATTTATGATAGGAAAACAGCCATTTGTAGGATCAATTACATACAAGAGAAATAAAAAGCTTCCCATTAGCTTTCTGCTTATTGGAAGTTGCTTTCTAATCAGTAGGTACTGTCCTCTTCTACAGTATGTCCTCAAATAAGTGCCATTTGTAAAGCAAATGTGAATGGCCTCAGGATTGTCCAGAATACTTTATTCCTGCAGTGAAATACATCCGTTTTTTTTCTTTTCAATTTCTCCTCTTTTTGTGGTTGGGGAGATATATCAGCCAATAAATTGACCATTTACAAATGCTACAATGAAACCCAAAGAGGTAGTGTCTCTTTCTGTGTCTTTTGAATGTATCTGTCTTTCTGTCCACCCTTCTATAGGCCAACGTAATGGTGCTGTTTTGACTGTCCAGAGGAATGCAGAATGACAAGCATTTATCATCTGTCCATCTGTCCATGTATCTGTCCATTTTAGCATGCTACAGTCACAGTGGTGGTAATGCAAGTCTCTTGCCTGTAATCTGAAAAGTGGTGGAAAAGTAATGGTGGAAAGATTTGCTTGCTCTGAGCACTGTGGAGATTGCAGAATGTCAAATGTGAATGGGCCTGGCAGACAAATGGGCCTGTGAGGGGAATGCATGCACTGTGTGGTATGGGGATTGTAGCAGTAAATTGAATCCATAAATAATTGATGACTCCAGATTGTGTGAGAATATTAAAAACCATTGGTTAGTCCCAAAAGAAAACCACAGAAAATGTTTCATTCGTTAAGGAAGGAATTCCGCACAAATTCAGTTTTGGCCCTTAGTTTTACCATGCACCAGTATTATCAAGGTTAGGTTTAGTGTTCTTTCTTAAATTCGTTACCGACCTCCCATACATCCAATTTAATTATGAATGAGGAGTCGTTCAGGAAGCAAGGCAAGAAATCACTTTGCATGTTATAAAATGTGTCAGAAATTAAACAGCGCCTCTGCCATAGAAGGGGTGCATGTACATAAAGTGCTTTTTATACAATTCACATGGAGGCTCTCTAAACTATTCAGCATTAACAAGGGATCTGCTCTACTGACAGATCTACTTTTCTGAAAGAAATACACACAAGGGGTTGGCGTCTGTGGCTGTGGTCCCTGCCTGTGTGCTGAAAGCAGGCAGAGGTGGTGACGAGATGTTTCTGTTTCTGCTTTCTAGCTACAAGAGGGTGGTGACAAAGAAGCGTGCTGGAGCAGCCGTGGTGGCTTGCTGGACAGTGTCCTTCATCGTGGGCCTGACGCCAATGCTGGGCTGGAACAACCTCCAGAAGATGAAGGAGAACGGGACCCAAATCACCTCTGATCTCACGGTCACCTGCCAGTTCGAGAACGTCATCAGCATGGAGTACATGGTCTACTTCAACTTCTTCGGCTGGGTCCTGCCTCCCTTGCTCCTCATGGTCCTCATTTACGTGGAGATCTTCTACATGATCCACAAGCACCTCAACAAGAAAGTGACGGCCAACAGCTCGGACCCCAGCAAGTACTATGGCAAGGAGCTGAAGCTGGCCAAGTCCTTGGCCCTGGTCCTCTTCCTGTTTGCCATCAGCTGGCTCCCCCTGCACATCCTCAACTGCATCACACTATTCTGTCCCTCCTGCCAGAAGCCGATGATTTTAATTTACATCGCCATCCTACTGACACATGGGAACTCAGCTGTCAACCCCATTGTGTACGCCTTCCGGATAAAGAAATTCCGATCCACGTTCCTCAAAATATGGAACCATTACTTCTGCTGCAAGGAGAGGAAACGGCCCACCAACTTTCAGAGTGAGCGGTCAGACTTCCAGGGACGTAACTCCATCTGAGCTCGGCAGGCAGGCTCCAGATATTTTTCCATACAGCATCTCTATGGGCTTTACCATCGCGACCTGTTACAGTTCACAACACTGGCCTCTGGTGTTCCTGATGTGCTGATGCAAATTGAGGTTACACTACAGAGAGGAGAGGCGTGCTGTTTTCTTAAATGGTTTCTTCTGATGAGAAGTGTAGAAATTATATTCTCACTTATCTGTCGGGAAGAGGAATATTTCAGGAGAAAAGGGGGAGAAATGTTCTTAATGTGTGCCGCAAGAAAATGTAGGTTTATGTGTATTTCTAAAAATATATTAAATTGTTAACTGTAAAAGTATGTCGGTAACCAAGGTTGATTTTGGAATGATTAAGTATCAGCTAAACCACCAAATTAGATGAGTAATTTGAAATATGAATAATTTATTTGGTGATTCAGAGGAAGACAAGTGCCACAACCTGCACAACAGTAATAGGCCTTAATGCAGAACATTAAGAACTGCTGCTGGTTTACGGACGAACAAGATACATTAATGCTGACACACAGATTCTGTATTTCTGCAGTCTGATTTCCCTCTTCACCGGCAGAATCCTATACTGTTTCAATTTACTGACAGAGCTCTTATTCATGATGAGCAGGATCTCAAAGCACTTTTCCAGATCAGGTTAAGGGCAACCACAGTGCCAATGTCTTATTACGAGTACAATAATTAGATTTCATTTGCATAAAAAATGTTTTGCTGTTCATTCTAATATAGAGATATTTCACCAAGGTATATGCTGAAAGCAACTGCAGTGTTTAATCCCCCGTTTCAGTATCAGATAACTTCTTGTAGTATTATTAACCTTGTTGACATATATTTCTCATCTGTGTGTTTCTGCTCCAGTGTTGCATTTTTTTAACAAATGCAGACCCACTGATTGTCTAGGCTGGACTATTTTACAGACCCAAAAAGGGGGTCAGGACTTTCACCGCTCATTGCTTTACTTCTGTTTGGGTTCGACAGTTGTACCTGATAAATATTCTGAAGAAAATAATGAAGTCGAACACACCAATGGCTGGTGAAAAGATATGGAAGACAGATGAGTTCTGTGTTTACTCTGTTCCATGTCTTTGTTCACTCAAGATAGTTACTGACGTCTAATTCACAACTGACAGATGTATTTAACACTATGGATAGAACAAAACAGTCTGATTGCCGATCAATAAATGTATTGTCATTCTGCAGAATACCGCTGTTATAAATGTCTTGTTTTACATGTGATTCACTTACTGGAACAATGGTGCACTAAAGCAATCAGGTTAATAAGTATTGAACTGTACTAATCTGAGTATCATCACTGTATGGAGGAATTAAAGTAAAACAAATTAAACTGAACACTGATGAACAGGGACACTGCTGTGGTGGTTTTAATGTTTTTCTCCTGCCCTCACAAAGTCTTGTTAGATGCTAGTGTGTCAAACCAGGGGATTAAATAATCACTGATTGGCTTTATTTAGTGTTCATTATTTCCTGTTGTAACTCAACAGGAGACAGTAATTGTAGTGGTGGATTGTGATGTTCTGTCAGGACTCCAGGGGTTTTGCCTAGTTTTGTACCTTTTTCTTTGTTTTAAAGGGAAACACAAGATAAGTAACACAATTATGGTATATTAATATAATATTGAGCATTCCCCTGCTCAGTTTCAATATCATTCTGTCATTTCATCTACACCAATGTATTTTGTGTTCTGTGAAGAAGAACCTGCTCTACCATCCATCCATTTTCTAACCATTTCTTCCAATTCAGAGTCCATATGTACATGATGTGCCCTCCAAAAAAACAGTACCGCCTAGTATGGCAGATGCAGCCATATTAGTTCCAAACAATTTCTACAGTTATTACCAGAATTTCACTATATACATGATGGATAATTCAGTTCATAAAAATATGGTTGGAGTGTCTTCAAATTCTCACACTGTCCTCAGGTTGTGCCAGCTGTTCTCTCATGTGCTTTGGGTGAGCCTTGAGTACCAAGACTGACTCTACACCATCTGGCATAAAGTGGGTGCCAACAGAATATCTTTTCTGATATTCATATATAACTGAAAACTGAATGTTTATAAAGAAAAATTATAAAGGGCACCCGATTCAAGTATTTAAACTCCTCACAAGTATTGACACAATCAGCCCAGTGGAGTTCTTTAGACTGAAGAAAGAACCAGAGGACAAAAACTGGGATAATGGGAAAGTGCATTAAAAGCTTGAAACAGGATCCATTGTTCTTTTACACAAAGGGTCTGTAACAAGCTGTTGCTAAACTTGCTTCTTTTAGGAAACTCCTCAGTTTCAACAGTCATAGAATAAACATTAAACCAAAGGCAAACGAAGAAAGCAAGCCTGTGAAGAGTACCTGGATCTGTAAAGGGAGACAGTGCTGTATCTCAGGGAGCTCTAAAATAAATCCTCTTAAGAAATGTCTTTTATGTAAAGCAGTTGTTTACTTCCTTTCAGCTAAACAATTAAGGCACATTCAGCAATGCATTTTCTCCGTGTCATCTCTTCACCTCTCTTTCTTCATCCCTGTCAGCTCTGAAGCTTTGCCCCAGTAAACAGCCCTAGACAAACCTGTTGTCTGTAAATAGTAACTACTTGGTCATTTAAGTATTATAAACCTTTTTCTTTGGTTTGGCATAATAAAGAATAGAGTCTGCATTCTGAGACCTTCTTTATTTCATTGTATGCTCAGGGGAGATCAGAGAAAAGCAAATCAGAGTATACTGTACATATGCACAGTATCCATCGGCTATGAAAATTAAAGATTAAGATTCTCTGTATCCTTGTAAAATTAATCTGACCTTTCCTTCTGACACAATTTACACTGATGAAAATGCCACTGTTGAATAAAGACCTTCTTTAGGTAAAAAAAACAAAGAAATTCCCACAGGATTGTGCTGTGTCAATTCAAGGTCAAAGGGGAAAGAATTCCAATTTTTCTTGCCGTACTCCCATTCAGTAGATTGGATCGTCATGTATTTATTTTGCAAACAAGCAGTTTCTGTAATCAAAAACTTAAAACAGCAATGCTAATGAACACAGCCAAAAAGTCCTGAGCAGTATATTTTACACCGCAAAATCTGTGGAAGGTCACATTAAGACAATGTGAAGCTGAAAAGCTTTGAACCACTAACTTCAATTAGGAAATCTGTTTTGGATCTCATATGCAAAAGCCCCTAGCTTTTTGGGGCCCTAGGCAAGAACTTGGAAAGGGGCCCAGATCACAGTTTGCAACTGATAACAACTATTATCAGTTCCTAACAAAATCTTATTTTACTATTTCAAACAATAAAATTAATTACATAACTAGAAACCTTTTCTTAAGCAGCTTGGAAGAATACAGTACATAACTTATAAACAAGAACACA